CCACTTGCTATTGTGAATGCCCCCCCTTGATTGATTATATGACAAGTACCAAATACCCACCTTGGTAACCAACAATCATGGAAACCTCTTGTGTATACCCTCCTTGGAAATCAACAGTCATGGGAACCTCCTGCCTCCTAGTTACCAGCCTCCTTATCTAACTTGCTTGTTCTGCTTCTGTAAATTCTGCTTCAGCTAGGCTCCCCCTCTCCTACTTAAATCCAGGTATAAAGGAAAATCTAGCCCCTTCCTCAGGCCCGAGAGAGTGTTGAGCATTAGCTGTCTCTCGGTTGCTGGCTAATTAATAAAGGACTCACAACTGGAACTCAGAGCGTGGCACTGTTCCATCTAACTCACCTGGGTATAACGTGGAGAGAGAGTACGAGAAGGAAATTGGAGGATAAATGGAGATCATAGTTCAAAAAGTTTTACGTAATAGGTGAAGGAGGTATTTTTTTAGACAGAGTCTCGCTCTTGTCCCCCAGGCTGGAATGCGATGGTGCAATCTTGGTTCACTGCAACCTCCACCTCCTGGCTTCAAGGGATTCTCCAGCCTCAGTCTCCCGAGAAGCTGGGACTACAGGTGCCCACAAGCACGCCTGGCTAATTTTTGTATTTTTAGCAGAGACGGTGTTTCACCATGTTGGCCAGGCTGGTCTCGAACTCCTGACCTCAGGTGATCTGCCTGCCTCATCCTCCCAAAGTGCTGGGATTACAGGCATAAACTGGTAAGTTTTAAGCAACTGAGGAAAAGGCTGGGGGGAACAGGAGGCCAGATGACATGATCAGATTTATGGATGAGAAAACATCCTGATGAACCATATAAAAAATGGAGGCAGCAGTGACCCAAGCAGTAAGACAAAGTTCTGTAGGGAAGGTGAGAATAGGAAGACATGAATCTCCATGACAATTCAAGTCAAATGAACAGGGCTTGAAGGCTACTTAAATGTAGAGGGAGAAAGACAAGAAGTTTTTAACTTATGCTACTGAGTAAGGCGGTGATGTCTTTGAACATAGAAGAAAATAAAGAGAAAGAAACAAGTTTGGCAGAGAAAGTTATTTTGATCTGTAACCTGCTGAAATGGGGGTGACCATCAGACATTAAATTCAGCATAGGTTGGAAATCTTCAGAAGGATGAGGCTTGAATAGATGGTGGAGGTCCAGGGAGAGGATGAGTTTTCCATTGCATGTAGCTCTTTATTCTGTTGTACTTACCAGGTGACTGTCTGATATTAAGATTGGCTTTTCAGAACTTAAATAAATTTACAAGAAAAAAACAACCCCATCAAAAAGTGAGTGAAGGATATGAACAGGCACTTTTAAAAGAAGACATTTATGCAGCCAACAAACATATGAAAAAGAGCTCATCATCACTGGTCATTAGAGAAATGCAAATCAAAACCACATTGAGATACTGTCTCATGCCAGTTAGAATGGCGATCATTAAAAAATCAGGAGACAACAGCTTTCCTGTCGCGGCTTGCGTGGTGTCGGCTTGTGCATCTCCGAGACCTGAAAATTAAGAGCATTTTCGCACCCCAGGGTCTGCTCATGGTGGCTCTACAGCCGTCAACATGCCACAGAATGAATGTATTGAATTACTCCATAAATGCTATGGATACCATCTGGATTACCATGAGAAAAAGAGAAAGAAGGAAAGTCGAGAGGCTCATGAATGTTTGAAGGCAAAGAAAATGATTGGTATGAAGGCTAAGCTTTACCATAAACAGCACCACGTTGAGAAAATACAAATGAAAAAAAGACTATCAAGATGCTTGAAAAGAGAAACACCAAACAAAAGAATGATGAAAAGACTCCACGGGGAGCAGGACCTGCCTATCTACTGGACAGACAGGGACAATCTCGAGCTAAAGTACTTTCCAATATGATTAAACAGAAATGAAAAGAGACGGCGGAAAAATGGGAATTCCCTTTGCCTAAAGTCCGTGCCCAGGGAGAAACAGAAGTATTAAAAGTTATTCGAATCGGAAAGAGAAAGAAGAAGGCATGGAAGAGGATGGTTACTAAAGTCTGCTTTGTTGGAGATGGCTTTACAAGGAAACCACCTAAATATGAAAGATTCATCAGGCCAATGAGCTTGTGCTTCGAGAAAGCCCATGTGACACATCCTGAACTGAAAGTCACCTTTTGCCTACCACTACTTGATGTAAAGAATCCCTCAACCCGGCTGTATACAACTTTGGGTGTTATTACCAAAGGTACTGTCATTGAGGTAAATGTGAGCAAATTGGGCCTTGTGACACAAGAAGGCAAAGTTATTTGGGGAAAGTATGCCCAGGTTACAAACAATCCTGAAAATGATGGATGTATAAATGCAGTTTTACTGGTTTGACAGCAATTTAATATATAATTATTGAGGACTACACATGAATTGGAAAAACTGCCATTACTGTAATGTTACTGAATACTACCAAACAGCCATACATGTCTGCAATCAAGAGATTTATTAAATTGTAAACATTAAAATGGTCCAGTAGTATAAACAGTCTTTATTTTGAAATCTACTTAGACCCCCATGTTAATGAAATTGATTGAAAAAAAGCAAAAAAATAAAAAAGTAAAAAATCAGGAGACAACAGATGCTGGAGAGGATGTGGAGAAATAGGAATGCTTTTACACTGTTGGTAGAAGTGTAAATTAGTTCAACCATTGTGGAAGACAGTGGTGTGGAGATTCCTCAAGGATCTAGAAATACCATTTGACCCAGCAATCCCATTATTGGGTATATACCCAAAGGATTATAAAACATTCTATTATAAAGACACATGCACACATATGTTTACTGTGGCAATGTTTACAATAGCAAAGACTTGGAACCAATCCAAATGCCCATCAAAGGTAGACTAGATAAGGAAAATGTGGCACATTTACACCAGGGAATGTAGTCATAAAAAAAGGATGAGTTCATGTCCTTTGCAGGGACATGGATGAATCTGGAAACCATCATTCTCAGCAAACTGACACACGAACAGAAAACCAAACACCACATGTTCCCACTCATAAGTGGGTGCTGAACAGTGAGAACACAAGGACACAGGGAGGGGAACATCACACACCGGGGCCTGTTGGAGGATGGGGGACTAGGGGAGGGATAGCAGGGGGTAGGTGGATTGAGGAGGGATAACATTAATAGAAATACCTAATGTAGATGACGGGGGGTGGGGGCGGTGGGGGATGGATGTAGCAAACCACCAAGGCATGTGTATACCTATGTAACAACGCTGCACTTTCTGCACATATAACCCAGACTTAGTACAATTCAAAAAAAAAATTATGACCTCTTGGCAGGAAAAAAAAAAAGGAAAAAGAAAAAAATTAAAAAAGATTATCTTTTCAAATTGGATCTGGTATTTTCATTCACTTGGCCATTCTACTTCCAACCTTAACTTGATAAGCCCAAATTGCAGCTTACAGCCGTTCTTTTCTGTGTTTAGGAATCTTGTAGAATCAAATGAGGGTTGAACAGATAAAATGACATTCCCGAATTTGTCAATTTTAGTATCACTCCATTTCTGCGGGCCCTGCCTTAACAGCCAGCCAGTCTATCTTAAATATCGTTTGTAAATTACAAGTATGAAAATCAAGAAAACCTAAAAGTAGGGTTTTTTTGAAGCTTACGTGCAGAAAATGAATTTCAAAGCACATTCATAGTATAAATAACATTTAAGCAGCTGGGCACAGTGGCTCATACCTGTAATCCCAGCGCTTTGGGAGGCCTAGGTGGGCAGATCAGTTGAGGTCAGGAGTTCAAGACAAGCCTGGCCAACATCACAAAACCCCATCTCTACTAAAAACACGAAAATTGGCTGGGTGTGGTATTGCATGTCTATAATCCCAGCTACTTGGGAGGCTGAGGCAGGAGAATCACTTGAATCCAGCAGACAGAGATTGTAGTGAGTCAAGATCACACCACTGCACTCCAGCCTGGGCAACAGAGCAAGACTGCATATCAAAAACAAACAAAAACATTTAAGCTACATAGAAACCAAATTATACAAATGCCTTAGTAAAAGTCACCTGAGCAGAAAAAATATGCCAAATACAAACGACCTCCTAGCTACTAAAGCAAGTTGAACAGCCCCTCCTAGAAGCTTTATTATTCATGAATTGATATTAGAAGTATATAAGAGAGTAACAAAACCACAGCTCTAAAATATGGCTATCAGCAATTCATGGGAGCTTCAAACACAGCCACCTATGTGGTCAAGCAAATAAGATAAAGGAGTGATGTGGGAGGCCCGTAAGGTAGCAGGAACTGGATTAGACAATGGAGGATCGGAAGTGCCTGCCTTGTGAATGCACAAAGCTACTACTTCTGGCCCTTCATAAAAGAAGAAATCTTAAAAGAAGAATATCTGCTAACAAAGCAGATATTCTGATTTCTTATTTTTTGAAGGGCCAGAAATATAAATCTTATGTCAAATTTCTAATCATGTAAGGCAGGCACCGTGGCTCATGCCTATAATCTCAGCACTGTGGGAGGCCGAGGCGAAAGGATCACTTGAGCACAGGAGTTCAAGGCTCACCATGGCAACAGGGTGAAACCTTGTCTCTACAGAAAATTGTTTTAATAATTAGTCAGGTGTGATAACACATGCCTGTGGTCCCAGCCATTTAGGAGGCTGAGGTAGGAGGATTGCTTTAGCCCAGGAGGTTGAGGCTGTGGTGAGCTGTGATTGTACCACTGCATTCCAGCCTAGGTGACAGAGAAAGACCCTGTCTCAAAAAAAAGAAAAACATGAATATTATGTGGACCTCTGCTCCAATTGTTCAAAATTAGTAAGGTTTTATTACATATCAATTTAATTTATGTTGACATTTAATAGCTAATAAAGCTAAAAATATTGATTAGGTTTTAAGTTTGTAATGTTTAACATTAAATATGGTTTTAGAAATAGACTTCTATTCCAGTAATAATCTTACAATATATCTAAATGATATCATAATTTCAATCAATGCTGACAAACTTTTTTCTAACAAAAGATAAATGGACAGTTTTATTTTTCAACTTCAGCAGAATGAAAAATGTGTTACAGAAAAGTTTGATAAAATGTGGGAGCCCAATAAAGTCACACAACCAATGTGCCACCTTTACAAAATTAATTTTCATAGATGTAAAAATGCCTTCAAGTACTTGCTATTATTCATAATTGAGTAGCATCTACTTTTAAAACGTTGTCTCTAGTTTTCATCAACCTCTCTAGTTAAGTTCACCTTGACCTCATCAGTGATTTTGCTCTTTCCTCCACGAAGACCAGCCAAGTAAATCTGAGGCCTGGGCACTCCAGTGCTGTCTTCCTTCGTGGACTGGGTGCTAGTGTTCTTTGGGGGGTACACCTGGGAACAATTTTCTCTTCTCAAGTGACTAAGATCTGTTTGTACTGAGTGAGTAACTTTCTGGCGCAAATTAGCCTAAAGAGAAAAAGAATACAGGAATTGACATTTCTCTAAAGAGCAAATACCATAAAATATTATCAGATACCTGTTAATATCTGCCTATATTTGTCTTCAATTCACAAAGAAATTAATTGTATAACATAGCAGTTTAATAAAACACTGGAAAATCTAGAACATAATAGAAAATTAAATATGCCTTACCAAGAAGTGGAAAAATATGTAAAATGTTGAAAATTGACCCAAAAAAATACAGATTCAAAATTACATGGAGCTCAATCAGTTATTTGTTAATATAATCTAATTATTTCATTATTATATTTTGAGATTCATATAACTTGGATTTTTCCACTATAATTGTTTTGTTTCTTTTTGACAAAAAGTTAAGCTTTATACAGTATTATCTTTTAAAAATGGACTTCGCCCTAGGTTTTTAACATAAAAAGGTCTGATGTTTTCCATTTATATTTTACTGTATTCTACATTTTGCTTACTCCCTTTAGGGATTACTAGTAAACAAGAGGTTAAACAGATTACTCAGGCTGGAAAGCAAGGAGGAGCTTATAAAAAGGAGAATAAGCTGCTGAGGTTATAGTAAAGACCAAGAAAAAACTCAGAAGGCATGAGAACACGTGAGTGAAGAAGGAGACACCTGGAATTAGAGGAAACATTTCAGAGTTTGAGATACCACAGGTGACTGAGAAGCTACTCCCCACCACCCAGCTTATTGTCCACATTAATATGACTTCACTATTCCATTGTCTTCATTAGCATAATTTTACTATTCCAAGAGACTCTTGCCTAAGCAAGTAACTTGATTGCTCATTACAGCACTACCTGAAAGATGTGGCAACTCTTCAGTAGTCAGCATCAACACACAGTTTCAGTCCAAAGAGTCTGCATCCCTTGCCTCAAAAAATCTTGCTATTCCCACCAATGCTGGACTGCTTTTTCATGATCCTTACCCAAACCGATTGAAACCTCCATCCTACCCCAATCCACCTCAGTCACTGGAAGACCTGCCTTAGCAAACTTCAAATTCTCAATAAATTCTGACTTTGCAGTTCCTCTTCTGAGACACTGCCAAAGCACTGTTTCCCTTATGGCTGTAAGCAATAAACTCCGCTTTGTCTTATCCAAAGGTTGGGTAGGTGACACTTAGGGAGCTGGCATTCAATACAATACAGTCCTAGGGAATAATAAGGCCCAAGGGGAGAGTCAAAATCAAGTGGAGATTGAGGAAGAAAGGGTTCAGTCACTATGAAATTCAGACCCCTGAATACCCCATTCTCTTAACATTTCCAGTCCATGCCTATGTTGTCACCTCTATCTCTTGTATCCTATCCAGCCATCACTTCCCTCCTCCTCTTTGCCTATTTGTATCTCAAAGGCAACTTAAAATATCACCTACGTTAATTTAGGAGAATTTTCATTTCACTTCTGTTACATCACTTATAAGGAGGTACTGAAATATTTTTATTGTAACAATATCACTTGCTAGACAACTAGCCCCTGAAGAACAAAATAGTAGGATATATATGTTACCCAATAAGTCTGATAAACTCAAGTGAGTTTAGTAGATAATAGAAAATAATATTGGGATTGGACATTTCATGAACTACGGAAGAGTAACTGATAGGAAGGAAGACTAATGCAAAAGTTATCTATCTGGAAGATATATGGGGAAACTGATCCTTTCTCATCCCAGGGAACTGAAAAGCTGTCACCAAATGAGTAGCAAACTAAATAATGTGGTCAGTGGGAAACCTGTGAGAGACTGAATATACAAATGCACAAAGGCTAGACCATATATGACAATAGAACTCTTTGACTTGCAACCTCTGCATCAACCAGTTGGGAAAGCCAATCTCAACCTCTAGCTATAGCAATCAACCCAGAATGTTGAGGAGTAGCCAGCTTCTCTATTTTTTTGCTCCTTCTCCCCCAACTCAGGACCAAACAGAGAAACCTAGATATGCTCACCAAATCAATCACATAAAATGCCCTGCTTCTAGTTAGAATGCCTCCGGCTTTCTCATGCTAATAGCCTACAATCAGAGAACACCTGAAGGCTTCCCCTTTTTCTGACTATAAAGCTTTCCCACTCCCCTGACTGCTTTGAGTCTACCAAACACAGGTGACAGTGTCTGACCCCTTTGCTATAGCAAGCTCTAGATCAGACACCCCCAAACTGTGGCCCCCTGAGGCCATTTATCCGGCCCCCCGCCGCACTTCAGGAAGGGGCACCTCTTTCATTGGTGGTCAGTGAGAGGAGCACAGTATGTGGCGGCCCTCCAATGGTCTGAGGGACAGTGAACTGCCCCCGTGTAAAAAGTTTGGGGACGCCTGCTCTAGATCAATAGCCTCTCTTTGTTCTCATTTGGGTAAGCATTATTTCCACACCTGCTTTCAATTAAGTAGATGGATAAAATATACTATAAAGGGCTACAGACATAAAAGATTTTATTTCATGCTATAAATATTTGCTGTTTAAAATGATAAGATACCATAAAGAGGGTTTGATGGAGGGAATTTCACTGAGTTGGACACGGATGAGTTTCAAAGACAGGCTTTAAGGGCAGGTATTTGTATTGTAATTGAGGTGACTGAGAATCAGAAGGATGAGAGTGCCCAGGGTCTGGAGATAATATGCTGTTGTTGAGGGGAAAAATCTATGATTTAATAGACAAGCTCCAAAAATCAAACAAAAAAGAATAGTATACCTTCAATGATTAAAGGAAGTTGGGAGTGCTTTAAATACTAGCACCAAGTTTTAAAACTGATAGATAGCTAGATAGATAATTACCATTGTTCTATATATGCTTAAAATTAGAAGACAATCTTATAATGTAAACCTAACAAATTATAAATTATATTTTTGTTAGCAAATAATTGTATAAAACTCATTATTTTACATAAATAATTTACCAGCTCTATAAGTAACAACAGATTAAAATTCCCCAACCTATAAATAATTTTAGAAAATATTATTACAAACCAGTTTTATAGCTTTTCTTCTTAATTCCCATTCATTCCACTCATATGTTCTCACAATTGTTGGTGGCAATATGTGTGTATCCGTCTGTGTGCTACTTTCACTTTTTGTAATTGGTTTTATATAATGTTTGTCAGCTTCTCTCATCTAAAGAAATGGAGTTTTGTAATTAGTGCTTGTAAAAAGTAAACATTATTTACTGGTAACTAAAATATTTAGCTAAAACTGACAAAGCACTTAAAAAACAAGCATTTTTGGACATGGAATATACTTGTAAATATCAATACAGAAAAGCACATCATAATGAGCTGAATTGTTTTTCTGGGAATTATGGCTTCATGATTTTGTTAATGTTGGGGGGGTGTTTTTTTGAACTTTTATTTTAGATTCAAGGGGGCACAGGTGCAGGTTTGTTACAAGGGTATATTGCATGATGCTGCGATTTGTGGTAGGATTGAACCCATCACCCACGTAGTGAGCACAGTACCCAGTTGTTCAGTTTTCAGTCTATGCCCCTCCACTCTTTCCACTGTGGCAGTCTTCAGTGTCTATTTACTGGTCCCATCTTTATGTCCATGTATCCCCAATATTTAGCTTCCACTTATAAGTGAGAACATGGGGTGTATGGTTTTCTCTTTTCAAAATACACATATAGGTTGTGTATTTTGGGAATGAGGGATGTTTTCTCTTTTCAAAATACACATATAGGATGTGTGTATTTTGAAGAGAAAACATCCCTCATTCCCAAGTCAAATATCCCTCCTGACTTTGCACAATTAGTAACATAAGTAAATACCTTGTTGAAAGTAGATAGAAATTTAAAATAGCTATAAAATATCAGGTAAAAATCACATCTATTTAAACTATCAAAACCTCTTTAAGACATATGTTGAACTCAAACTATGCATACATAGCAGGTTATTACCCAAGGTTTTTGCTTTGTTTTGTTTTTAGTTGAAAACATTGATTTTCTTCTTTGGAACTCAATATTAAGAGTTCAGTAATTCCAGGCTAAACAAGATATGATAGTGCTGGACATGACATTGTTGATGTTGTTGAAGGGAGTGGTAGAGGCTCTTAAGGAACTCAGGTCACAGTAAAAAGGAAGGAGAGATATTCTTTCCAAACAACAGATAATCACTGAGTGCCTAAACATTTGATATGATATAATTTCTGATTATAAAATTATGATATAGTTAGGTATATTTTTAAAATACTAAAACGATAATTAACAATACTGTACCATACAAATAAATGAAAAGTAATAAGAAGACAGTAAGGACTACATGAAAAAGAGAGGGAGAAAACTCATTTCTGCAGATATTAAAAGTCACTGAAGAACAGCTGGGAATTAAATATCCAGAAAGACAGGAAGAAACAAGACCAGCTGGATAGGAAAAAATTATGCTTTAGTGGAAAACTATGCATTATCTACATAAAATACCTTGTCAGTCATCTGATTCTAGCCTTTCACTGTCCTTAGGCTATCTTACAACTCTGTAAATTATAAATGAGTGATACCAAGACCAAATAGTTTCTGTCTACAGACATGCAGTCTATCCTGTGTGTAGAAGTTCAACTGACTTCCCTTTCCCCATGTGAAAAACATCAGTGTTACTTCCATTTACACATTCATTTGAATATTCCTGATCTACAAATGTGTCTGTTCTTAGGATTCTCTTTTGAATTTGTTATAACATCTACCTGGTCACCTCATTGATTAATAAATAGATTACACTCTTCAATACATGTTCATTTTTATATCTGCATGTCTGCATGACAATAATTTTACCCATTTTTGAAAACTATCTTTTAACAAACAGAAGACTAGAGCATATAGAACAAGTTTAAGACCAGTATATAATACACAATTTTTCCGACAGAGAGGTCATGGAGGGAATCAGTATAAATAGAAGGATAAAAAGACATGTATATCTCGAATGCCAGTCCCCCAAATTTGGATTTCATCTTAAGGACAAAAAACGGAAGAGTTTTGAATTCAGAGTAAAATGAATGGCATTTTTCTAATTTACAGAAAATTACTCAAATTTTTTTTTGTAAATTTTCCCCTCATACTTTTTTTTCTTTTTTTGAGATGGAGTCTCACTCTGTTGCCAGGCTGGAGTGCACTGTTGTAATCTTGGTTCACTGCAACTTCCGCCTCCTAGGCTCAAGCGATTCTCTGGCCTCTGCCTCCCAAGTAGTTGGGATTACAGGTGCAGACCACCATGCCCAGCTAATTTTTGTTTTTTTAGTAGAGACAGGGTTTCACCATGTTGGCCTGGAGTGTACTAGGGTTCCCCTTCTCCATATCCTCACCGGCATTTGTTATTGCCTTTTTGATATAAGCCATTTTAACTGGGGTGGGTGATATCTTAATGTAGTTTTGATTTGCATTTTTCTGATGACCAGTGATACAAGCTCCTTTTCATATCTCTATTTGCCACATGTATATCTTCTTTTGAGAAATGTCTATCTCTTGCCCATTTTTTCAGTTGGATTATTAGATTCTTTCCTATTGAGTTGTTTGAGGTCCTTATATGTTCTGGTTATTATTCCCTTATCAGATGGATAGTTTACAAATATTTTCTCCCATTCTGTGGGTTGTCTCTTTGCTGATTGTTTCCTTTGCTGTGCGAAGCTTTTTAACTTGGTGTGATCACATTTGTCCATTTTTGTTTTGGTTGTCTGGGCTGGTGGGGAATTACTCAAAAAATCTTTGTCCAGTCCAATGTCCTTAAGATTTTCCCCAATGTTTTCTTGTAGTATTAATAGTTTCATAGTTTGAGGTCTCAGATTTAAGTTTTTAACCCACTTTGATTTGATTCTTGTATATGGCAAGATAGGTCTAGTTTCATTCTTCTGCAAATGGATATTCAGTTTTCCCAGCAACATTTATTGAAGAGACTGTCCTTTTCCCAATATTCTTAGCACTTTTGTTTAAAATGAGTTCACAGTAGATGTTTGGATTTATTTCTGGGTTATCTATTCTGTTCCATTAATCTATGTGTCTTGTTTTTATGCCAGTACTGTGCTATTTTGTTTACTATAGCTCTGTAGTATAATTTGAAGTTAGGTAATGCGATTCCAGTTTTGTTCTTTTTGCTTGGGATGGTTTTGGCTATTCAGGGTCTTCTGTGGTTCCATATAAGTTGTAAGGTCATTTTTTTCTATTTCTTACAGAATGTCATTGGTATTTTGATAGGGATTTCACTGAATCTGTAGAAGCTTGAGTAGTATGAACATTTTAACAATACTGATTTTTCCAGTCCATTAATATGGAATATCTTTCCGTTTTTTGTGTCTTCTTCAATTTCTTTTATGAATGTTTTATAGTTTTCTTCATCGAGATCTTTCTACCCAAAATTAGTAGATGAAAAGCAATAATATAGATCAGAGCAGAAATAAATGATATTGAGACCAGGCACAGTGGCTCACTCCTATACTCCTAGCACTTTGAGAGGCTGAGGCAGGGGGATTGCCTGAGCTCAGGAATTCAAAACCAGCCTGGGCAACATGGTGAAACCCCCGTCTCTGAAATACTAAAAATACAAAATAATTAGCCAGCCATGGTGGCATGCCCCTGTAGTCCCAGCCACTTGGGAGGCTGAGACAGGAGAATTGCTTGAACCTGGGAGGCAGAGGTTACAGTGAGCTGAGATTGCACCACTGCACTCCAGCCTCAGTGACAGAGCAAGACTCTGTCTCAAAAAAAGAAAAAGAAAATGATATTGAAATGAAAAAAATGTAAAAGATCAATAAGATGAAAAAATAGTTTTTAAAAAGATATCCAAAATAGACAACTGTTAGTCACTAGCTACACTTTAGTCAGGATAAGAAAACATGAGAGAAGACTCATAGAAAAATCAAGAAGACATTACAACTGATACCATAAAAATTCAAAGAACCGTTAGAGGCTACTATGAGCAACTACATGCCAATAAATTGGAAAATCCAGAAGAAATGAATTCATAGACACATCAAACCATGAAAACAATTCCCTTCTGGCTAGGGCTGGTCTAAATGCTCCCTCCATGGGCACTGGCTGAATTCTGCCCTGTACTGCTTTATGCTGTGACAGGGCAGCACTGAATTTCAATGCAAAGTCCCAACAATCACTTTGCTCTCCCTCCACCAAGTTCACAGATTCTCTGCCTATGCCATGTGGCCACTAGTGGGTCATGGGGAAAGCATAGTATGGGCAATTAAAGACTGTATTTCCTACCCTCTTCAGTACCTCTTTCCTTGATATGATGTTTTAAAAGGGTATTGTGATTGCTCTCCTGATTTTTAGTTCTTTTATGGAGGTGCTTTCTTGTGAAGATATTTGATTTGATGTTTCTATGGGGTGATGATCACTGGAGGGTTGTATTCTGCCATCTTGCTCTGCCTCTCAACCAAGTGGTAATTTGAAGAGTGAAACATACCATTTTTTTTTTTTTTTTGGCCATAAGTAGCTTTGAGACTTTTTGTCATAAGTGGCTATCTTATAGCTCCAAAATTACAAACACAAACACACACACACACACACACACACACACACTTCCCTTTTTTATTCAAAGGAAATATATAAACACATTTATAAAGAAATGGTACATTTAAAAGTCACATGATACTACCCAAAGAGATCTACAAATTCAACACAATCCCTATCATACTACCAATTACATTCTTCAAGAAATAAAAAACAATCCTAAAATTCATGTGTAACCACAAAAGTCCAAGACCAGTCAAGCAATCCTGAGCAAAGACAACAAAGCTGAAGACATCACACTATCTAACTTCAAAATATGCTACAAAACTATAGTAACCAAAAGAGCATGGCACTGGCATAAAAACATATAGTGACCAATAGAATAGAATACAGAACCCAGAAATTAATCCACACATTTACAGCCAACTGATTTTCAGCAAAGGTGCTAAAAGCACACAACAGAGAAAGGACAGTCTCCTCAATAAATGGTGCTGAGAAAACTGGATATCCAAATGCAGAAGAATGAAACTAGACCCCTATCTCTCACTATATGCAAAAATCAACTCAAAATGCATTAAAGATTTAAATATAAGAATCCAAATTATGAAACTACTAGAAGAAAACATAGGAGAAGTGCTTCAGGGCATTGGTCTGGGCAAAGATCTTTTGGATA